GCAAAAAAAATAAAAAAACAAAAAATTTGAAAAAAAAAAAAAAAAAAAAAAAAAAAAAAAATAGCATGGGGGGCTGGTGGGGGGGGGGTAATGAAATTCAAGCTAGTTCAGCAGAAGACCTAGAAAAATGTCACAATTAGTGGAAATTTAAAGTCACTGTAATTTGTAGAGCTATGCCTGATCATGACCAGTTTTTATAATTGTGCTTAGTCATAAACATCTCTTTCCCTTTAAAGATGATGCATTAAATTCTTTGTGATTTTTTTAATTATTATTATTATTTTTTTTGCATTCATTATGTCACAAAGCATTCGGTCTGTGCTAGATTGTCTATTTATAACTCTTTTCAAACTTCTGTGTATTTGTCTTCTCTTCCTCTTCACCTTCTCTCTTGCTACCTCTTCATCTCTCTTCCCTCGGTGTGATCAAACATTTATGTGGCATGGGAATAGCTCCGAGTGTTCCTTTACTTCTGTTCTCCTCCCTGTCTATTTTCAGAGCTGCTTCCAATGCAAACTGTAAATCAGTTGTTATATAAGCCCGTGCGAGTATCTGCCTCCTCTCTTGTCTGTCTAAACAGCTTTCTTCTTTAAGTTTGTCCTCTCCCTCTTCTGGCCTCCTCTTAATTTTATGCCCTTTTTTTTTTTGTCTGCCCGTCTTCTTTCTCGCCATCAATCTGGCGTTCTTCTCGTGTTCTTGTTAAAACCGGCGTGGGAGGCAGAATTCTCAATGATGCATGAAATGCCGTACCCTCCTCACTGATGAAGTCGTCGTGCCTCGGCTTTGCTGCCTTATGAATTATAGGTGAACACTGATGTGCGCTGGTTTCACGAGCGTCTTAAATGTCCGAGAGATCAGCTGTTTTCAAGTTGGGGCAACAGAATCACTCACGTCTCGGGATGGAGGGGGGAGGGAGGGGAGGGGGGTTCACATGAGAGTTATAGTGTGTTTTGCACACGTGTTCACATGTCTTTTCATGGAAATGGGAGGGAAAAGCGCAGGGCTGGTCCGTGTGTTCAATGGGCTCGGGTTGCCAGAGCAACTGCCTGAGAGTTTCTAGTGGTTGCGCTACATGTGATGTGTCATCTGCTGAGAGAGCTCGCTACACAGTGGGAAGGAAGGGGAGGCAGGGGGGAGGAGCGCAGGCATGGATGTGCTATGGAAATATGAGATCTCACTGTTCAGGTGAGTTGATATCCTCCAGGGGACCTCTGCTTATTCTGGAAGGATCCATGGAGCCCCACTGCGCCTGCGGCTTTTGCTCCAGGTGGTTTTTCAGTATCGATTTCTCTCCATCTGCATTGAAACACGTGTAGACATTTTGGGAGAAATTGTTAATCTGTCAAATGGGACGCATTCTCAGTCGTTATATGCACCGCCATGATGCCTCTGATTTTCATAATGAAAATCCTTTTTATTTGACATCGTCCACTGTGACCCCGTACACTTTTTCTCATAACGTTACGTTTTCTTTTATATCGCTGCATGTTGCTATTGAGCTTCTTGCTAATGCGGAGTACTTGTCACATATACTTTTAGACTTCCAGAGTTTTTGAAGTAAACATTTTATGCATCGTAATCACAGGCAAAGTTCGGCGTCAAAACCCCAAATTTATAGTCGTTAACACCAAGCTGGAACTGCAGGGCTCCTTTTTTGCCCCCACACATGTCCCAGATTCCTTTTCAGAACTTGTTGACCTGATTCACTTATGTCAAAACCCCCGCCCCACCCCCCCATTGGACATCTGGGCTTACTGAACTATTTCAGAGCGGTTTACTTTATGAAAAGATATAACCTTGAAAATTTAAGAGTTGTGGGGGGGAAAAAAGTGCTGACCTGTATATTTCCACATTTCTATGTGATTTTATTTTATTTTTTGAGATGCAACAAATGTTTGCCTACAAATAATATTGACATTCATGGCCATGATGAGTTTATATAGATGCCTTAGTGCAACAGCAACCTGCACATAGAAACGGTTACATTTAAACATAATTATACAGTTAAGGTCTATTGCAGCTTGTAAAAGGCTAAAACTGTATAAATCAAACCTGCCACAGGCAGTTTTGTTTGTTCTAGGAGTCATGATGGGCTCCTAGCATGCCTCATAGACAGACAGAACATAAAGAATCTTATAAAACAGTATTCAAATTAATTTTATACATGTAAGCAGTTTAGTTATTTTTCCAAATATCTCATCAAAAATAGTTTTAAAGCTGCAGTACTGGCTGTTTTACATGAAGACAAAAATAAAATGTACCTTTCAAGCAGATTGTTGTGCCTAAAGAATATGCTAAAGGTTTTAAAATGACATGCCATAATTTACATTTGAATCCTGGAGACAACAGCTTGGAGGCAGCGACGATGCAGAAACCAACCAACGCTGGGAAAAAGCCGACATGCTGGAGATCTTTTATTTTTTTTAAAAAGAGCTACATGAACTGGGATTATGCATCCAGATTGTGTGTCAAGAGTGACTGTGAGCAGCACCTCACATTCAGCTTTCCTCTGCATCTCATTATGGCCTCGTTTCTTATAAGATCACGATCGAGACCTACGAGCGTCTCTGCTTCAGAGGGAATCGTGGAAAAGTCGATTTTGGCAAAAAAAAAATAAAAAATGAGCCGAGCTTATGTAGAACGGGTTCAAAGTGTGTTTACGCCGCATGTTGGTAATTACATACAACTCATTAAAATTACCGCTTTGTAATTTACAGTAAGGGTTGCCAATATTGTGGTGGCAATTAAATCTATTTTCCCCACTAAGTTTTTCCTTAATAAAAAAAATGGAAAAAGTATTCAGACGATTTTTCCCCCCAGTACAAACATAAAAAAAAAAAACATTTATTATCATAACTTTGTTCAGAGATGCTTTGAATCTTTACTACTTGTACTTTTTAAAGTAAAAAAACATTTTAAATGAATATGTATGCAGAAATGAATAAATAAATAAATCCATCAGTGCATCAAAATAGGCTTCCTGTGAATTTTCTGACATTAGACAGAACAATCTAGCTTAATCTGCACAAGCAATTACAATTTGACTTAACATAATAATAAATAATAACAATAATAATAATAATAATAATAGTAACAATAAAATAATAATAATTTGTGGAATTATGTTTGAATGTTTGTGCTAATCATAACTGTTAGACAAAATAAGTCAGATTATGCAACAATGCCATTGCAGAATATCTCGTTTCAATAATAAAACGCAGACAAAAAAAAAAAAGCCTTACCTAATAGCAAACCAAATTTAGCTGCAGTGTTTTGGTACTTGTGTATTTATTTATTTATTTTTTTTTTTTTTTTATGAAAAACAAACTGGAGGTCAAAATCGTCCCAGATGGTAGCTTGTGCATTAATTACCTACTAATTAGGACAACCCTGGCACGTCTTTCCCACCCTGTGTGCACGAGAAACATTGCTTCACCGCCACAGCGCAACGCCACAAACAGACTTCATTCAAATCTATTATTTTCTCGGCTCAAAAACAAGAAAGAAACAAACAACAACCATGCCATGTGACATATAGGGATCAGCTTTGTTAACGTGTGAAGGCGCCTTCGCAGATGCAGAATCTCACAGAATTTCAACGCTCTCAGCTCCCCCCGTCCGCAGAGCGAGCACAGCTGTCTCGCTCTTTGCCTCACCCAACTCAGACAGATCCATTAAATGCCCTCGAGAGCAACTTTAGGCTGGTGTGTGCAGCAGGCAGGCCGAATCTGGCTGTGGTACATCGCCATCTCCATCATTCTGCGTCTGTTAAATCGGTGCCTAATGCAAGGCGGAGCTGCTGAACTGATTCAATTTAAGGCAGCAGGTTTTATAATGTCTAAGATACAGCTATTTAAACAACCTGTGCAGTGGAGAGGAAGAAGAAGGAGACATAGAGGGACACAGGGACTGTACTGAAAAAAAGGCCGATTCAACAAGTACTGATTGGTGACTCAAACCGCGCCTTAATCGCTTCTGTTTTCCTAACCTGTATTCTTCCGTTTGCTGGAATCTTGTCAGCCAAAAACAGTCATCCACTTTTGTTTGCATCACAGGTAAAGATGCGCTCATCTTTTATTGTAGGAACATAGTCTGACGGGAAGAAATTAAATTGAAGACGCGGTTTCGTACCGTCACAGCTGTCATGCTTGACAGGTTGTGAGAGCGCCTAGCAAAGGTGATTCCAGACAGTTGCCCCCGTTTGTCCTTTACCTGTCATGGAGGAGCCATTTTGACTGACTGCATAGGCCATTTGCCAAAGACTAAAATAAAAAAAAAAAAGGTAAATACCTCCAATAAACTCTAGGCCCAAATTACTTCCGAAAACATTTTAATAGTAGCGGCATTGCTCCACCTTTTTTCCAGGGCACCTTAGATCGAATGAACTTAAAACAAGGGCAGAGAATTAAGGAGACTACAGAGAAGACAGCTGTTGGTGTGTGAAGAGAAAACCACCCTGAGGAAAACCCACTTTTTAAAATGAAACTGAAGTGAACAAAAAAACTTTGAGTGGACTGGCTGCCCATGGAGGTTCGCAACTGAGCTACTGGGGCAACCAAATCATTTCTGACCCCTGCCTAAACTAGTTCCTAAAAATAAAATTTTGAACTACATATCATCTCAGTTTGTTTAGAAATGTCAGAACTGTCAAACGACCAAGAACTCTTTTTTTTTTTAAACTATATTTTCAAGCTTTAATCCGTTTATAAACGCGTGTTTCTGAAGTACAACTTTTCAACAGCGAAGTAAGGCATTTATAAGTACATTTTCAGAACTAGATTAAAGATTCACTTCAGAAAAAAGCAAACAAAAACAAACTGAAACACACAGTGTTTCTTCTCACCTTTGCCGTCTGTAAAGTTGCGTATGCTGAGGATGTTGTTGGCGTCTGGGTAATGGTTCTGTTTAATGTAAGGAGTTTTCTCTGGGGTGTCCTGCAGCTGCATGGTCACTTCCTCCAGCTCCTTATCCAACTTTTCACACAGAAAAGACATTTGTACAGCATTAGGTCCTGCTGTGCCTCGTCGTTATATGGATGAACACACACACACACTTGTGACAAAAAAAAAAAAAAAACGTTCACAGACAATGTAGCTTGAGTAGGCAACGTTATATGAGCCACGTGAAAGTGCTGCAGTTGCTGCTCTGTGATTTCAGGCAGAATTTTACAACCCACTCATGGCCTGCAGCCAGAGTTCTCTCTTCCCCCCTCCCCCCCATCCCTGTCCCATCTGATTAGAGATGCTGTCCCTGTGACCCGGACCCCGGCCTCACCTGCTCACCCTAATCGACCTGGCTATCTGTACTGGCCTCCAGTCTCAACTCACTGCTGCATTGCAAACGCTGCATCAGCCAGCTCAGTTCTTGCTCATAGGCGTTTTCTTTTTTTTTTTTTTTTTTATACATTTTGTGATGCTACAGCCATGTATGTATGTTATATGGATTTTATGAGACAGAGCTCCCCTTTTAAGTTTAAACGGAGAGGAAGCTTAATAAAGTTGTCAACATTTATTTACAAATAGAGGTCCAAAAACTGTGGTCTGCAAAGATATTCACCCCCCTTTTACTCTAATGCACCTAAATATAACCCATTTCATTCAAAAGTCCCCCAACTAATTGTCACCTGTGTGTAATTCTAACAAAATATAAATACAGCTGCAGAAAACATTAGCAGCTTTACGAAGACAGGTGAACACAGCAGACAAGTCGAGGATAAAGTAACTCTGGAGGAGCTGCAGACATTGTGCGCTCCAAAAATAAGGACTTTATGGAACAGAGGAACAAAAGCATTGCTGAACGAAAGCCAGAATAATAACTCGCTGTTGCAGTCTGCAACCAGTCAGGCTGCAAACGCAGCACTGTGAGAGAAGGTGTTTTGGCACAGATGAGACCAAAACTGTATTTGATCCATTTCAACTTTCAACTGAAATTTTATTTATTTATTTATTTTCCCCCAGTCTCAAAAGGTGTAAATGCACACCACACTTTTCAGATGTTTATTTGGAAAGCATTCTGAGAACAAGGTGTCCAGTTGGACTACCACATAAAATCCACTTAAGACACGTCGAGTTGGTGTTGATGTAAAAATATGTGAAAGAATTAATATTCAACCCGCCTCGAGGCACAAAGCCAACTCCGTGCAACAGATTCCTGGTGCTTCTCCGTCTATCGTGCTCCCTGCTCAGAGCTCTCACCTCCTGTTTCAGCTCCTGCGCTCTCACTCTAAATTACCCTGTCTGTCAGTAAACTCTGACATCTGAGCCGACTTGCCTGAAGGTTCTGCGTTTTTGGACCGGCGCTGAGTCCATAATAAACACTGCAGCTCCCGGTAGCTCAAGCCGTTATAAACATCCGTGTCTTCTTAGTTTGTGTCGTTATTTCAAATCGAACATAAAAAAAGGGGGAAGGAGCTGAAATTCACCCCCTAAATTACTGAAAGAACATATATCCTCATGTTATGTAAAATGAGGGCGCATAGAAAATTGTGACCATCTCTTGACCAGTGACCAGAGCAGGTATTAACAATTATCCATCTAAGAGGTAACAAAGTGGATAAAAAAAAAAAGAATCTGAAAATTAACTAAATGTGGGAGAGCTATTATGTCTCAGATTTACTGGTGATAAATGCTTGGCTGTTTCTTTCTTCTCTTTTCAAACTTCAAGCGAAATGATTGTACCTGTAATTACATTACCTTTAAGATGTCTTTCTTTTTTTTTTTTGCCATTACGGCATTAAAAGCCTCTCTAACTATGCCCACTTTTATGTCTCATACCTTTATTATTTGTTAAGAGGAGCTTTAAACAGGAAGCCTTTTTTTTTTTTTTGCTCAGACCTCGGTTATCCTCATCCGGAGGCGGTGGTTGTCGGTTTGCAGCCCGTCCAGTCGGGAGGTGTTGGTCTGGTTCACGCTGGTGACCGAGGTGGAGGTCTTGGAATCTTCCTTCTTCTGATTTTGGGTGAACTTTAACCGCCGGTTCTGCGTGGCTGCGTCTGGGTTTGTTCTCATGGTGATCAGCTGTCGGAAGGGTCATGGGATGTTAGTCACTGTTGTACTCAGGCTGATGTTACACAACACGACTGTTTACGGAGTGTTTTAGGAGCCAGGAATATGCGAAGTGAGTTAAGGAATTTGGAGATAAGCAGCCATTGACTAGTCAGTCAAAGTACCTCCCTCCCTCTTCTAATGGCTAACGGCACTCGCATGGTAGCATCAGAGTGGATTTTATAAGAAGCCAGAGAATGCTCTGGAACTAAGTATGAAGCCGAGTCAATCTGTGCCTCTCCTCTTCCCCCGATTGTGCAACAATGCCCATGACTGTCATCTCCACACATTTTTTTTCTTGCTTACGAGAAACACAATGTTGGCTGGCTCGAGAAGTCGCTGCTTGGAAAAAGTCCTACTCATCACTTTAAGATAAGGCCCTTATGAAACTGCAGTTGGGAAAATAAGAGTGGCATTAATGTCAGGCAGCAGACAGCCAGCTGGCTACTCAAGCAGCTTCCCTGAATAAGCCAGTGAATGCCAGCTTCTAATACACCTACTTTTCTACTCTATAAAGAGCAGAATGATGAAGTGTGATGATATTTTACACAAAAACGATATCTGTGCAACCCAGTGCTGCTAAATTCAGGGAATGTTAAAATGCATAAACATCTTCGAAAATGGTCCGCTGTTTGAGATGTCCTGTAGTAATAAATAGTTTCACACTTTTAGCAGCTGTAGAAATAATAGTTACCATTTATCAAAACAAATTAGATGTTAGAAATGTTGTTGTTTTATTTTTGTTTGCCATATTTTTTACTCAAAATTCTCTGTCGTGTTTAAAAACCAACCTTAGGAACGAAGACAAGACAGAGGGTGATGGTGCTACAAAAGATGATGACGAGAGCTACGATGCAGAACTGGACATTCGGCTGATCCCTGGTCAGAAACGACACGGCTGCGCCAATGATGCACATGATGCCAACGTTGTACACGCTCATTCCGATGTACTTGCTGTCGTTGAGGGCAGGGATGCTCACGTTCCTGGTCTCCCACGCCAGAAAGCAGCCAAACAGCTGTAAAGAAAAGGGGAAAGGAAAAAAATGACAAATTGCAGTTTAAACGGATGACTCAAGACGGCCAAGAGCCAGAAAAGAGGAATCAGAAGCTAACTGTGTTGAATGAGATGTCTCAGAAGACAAGAACAGAGATAGTTGTGAGTGCAAAGTCTTTGCTTGGAGGGACAGAGGAGCTGCAGCAGAGGATCACTGCACAAATTACAACGCGCTTCCACTGATGCATGTTGGTGTAATCAGAGAAGGCCATTTAGAAATGGTCATCAGAACCTCAATACATAAACACCCATCATCTGTTCATCAACCATTGTGTCCCTCCTTCCATCCTGTTGTTTTGAAGGGCATGTTTTACTCCTGAACCTCCTCTTTCTTTAATTCTCCCAAGATATTTTACACGTCCATTATAGTATTAATTTTCTTCCCACTTCACTCTCAAGTAGAAAGACTGAACTCTGTCGAACCCTTTCTGATGTTTGAACTGAATCTAGATAAAAGGTTTTCAAAGTTTTCCGCCACCGTGACAGACCGCTCTTCTAAGTTGAATAAGTCTATTAGAAACAGGGTATTATCGTACTTTATTTCATACTATTGCACCGTTACATTTATCTGCTGTAAGGGAACAGATATGTTTACAGATCATTTTAAAATGTAATTTGCTTTCGCAGAGTGCGAGTCCACTTTGAACCCCGCCTGAAGCAATATTAGCGTCGTGTTATGAAAAATCTGTAATTTTTCATAATCGCACATTATGAAAAACATCCTTAAAGTTAGAATTTTTCCAATAATTATTAAGTGAAGATGCATTTTTTTCCTTCACATTCTTGACACAAAGACGGTGCATATTACTGTTTTAAATTTTAAAATTATTTTAATAATATGTTGTTGTTTTTTAATAATCTGCAAATTAAGATAGCACAAAGAGTAAGCGGGTGTGCATGCGTGTCCAGACTGTGATTATGCTGTCAGATTTTTTGTTCTCTCACCATTAGCAGTCCCTTGTAGGCATACACGATGCCAAGCCAAATGGTCATGTGGGTGTTCTCACAGTGCTCCAAGAAGGGACGGATGGCAATGTCCCGGCCTTGTGGGTCCGCCTGTTGGCAACACGAGAGGAGGGGGAAAGAAATGAGTACAGCACACACAGACGTGTCTTGTTCTGTGGAAGAAAAAAAAAAAAGTTTGCCAGATGACTAAGTGAAAACTTTAAAAGATACACACACAGGAAATACTTTGTCACTCGGTTTCATTTTAAGTTCCTGTTGCAGACACCTTCTGACGCAGGAGCATAGGCAACACAAGACCGACTGCTGCTGCTGCGAGGAACCCAACGAACCCCATGGGTTTGCCCATTGAGGGCCCATGTAGGGCTCATGTAGGCTGTGGCCCTACATGGGCAAACCCATGTGGGGCCACAGTGGAAACCGCGGATGTCAGCCCTCCTTTCCTTCATATGGGGCCTACCTAGACATTTTGGCAGGGTATCGCCACGTTTTACGAACTGAATGAATTAGTTCAGTTTTTGTCGCTAGTTTAACTTTTAGGAACTGTAGCGGCTGCAGTGCGCCGCAATAAAGCTGATAAACAGGTGAAGAACAAAGCTAGATAAAATCAATTCTACTGTATTCTGCTTTTTCTTGCTCTGGACGTTACCCTACACCCGGACCCGTTGCCATGGAAACGGACAGACAACAGCTCAACGAGCAGATAGAGCAGAGATTACGGATCTGAGGAATCAACACCAAAATCAAACATTTCCCACACACAAAAAAAGTAGCAAAAACACCAAAACAGAACATCCAGTCTGTTACATTAAGTTGTCAGGCTTGATGTCTATATTGCGATTATTAATAAATTTTCACCTGAACACAGCGGAGGTTGATTAACTGATTTAAACACCTGCTCTACTGATGACTTGGTGTGCGGGTTGTCCTCTTTTAGTGCTAACGGAACCAAAACACACCGAACTGCGCAGCACATGCTAAGGTTACCAAAGTCAATAGCAGGCTAGCAACAGTTAGGCTAGTATAACTGACTCACTGCTCACTTTCTCAACGTTTTCTTTAAATTAAAACTTTTTCCTCACCTGTTAAATCTGAAACCCGTGAACCTTGTTGTCCATGACTGTCATAGGGTTGAATTAACCGCTAAATATTGCGTCGTTTTTCCAGATTCTAACGGTGATTGTGGCATTTTCCTGACCACCGATATTCCTGACTCAATGGGCAGCAATTAAATGGCGCATATGTGGCGCACGATAAGTCATGTAATGTCCAGTCCAGTAATGTCCTTCTCTCGCACTTGCCGCTACTTAGCAGTATGTGTCAGGTTACGATGTGTTGCATTCAATGTTATCGGAAAAAAGAGTTCCATGCGCTTAGTGTCCAATTTTCCATAACCATTTATTGAATTCATAGTCGCCAGCTGGGGTGGCAACAGGGGTGGCAAGGCTCTCAGTTGGGGTGGCAACTGCCACCCTATGCCACCCCAGTAGATCCGCCCTTGGACGGGTAAGTAAGATGCAAAATGACAAGACAGTTTATATACTTTGCTTTTTTTTTTTTTTTTTTAGCAAAATAGAAATATTGCAACCACAAATTTTAATGTATTCGACTGGGATTCTTTAGAGCGAATGGCCAATCATTCATAATTATCAACGTTTCTTTACTGATGAAAATGTTGACCGGTTAGTGGTGAGCTTATGCACGCCTGAGGAATTTTTTTTTTAAGAACAATCTTTCACAATAAATCCAGCTCAACTCTTTCATGTACCAGCTTCACAAATCTAGACGCCAATACTTGTCCCATTCTTTGCAAACACTCAAGTTCAGTTGGATTGGATAGAGAGCCTTTTCGAGCATAAATTTTCTAGTCTTGGAATAGATTTTTCACTGGACTTAGCTTTAGACTTTGACTGGGCCATCCTAACATTTGAATATCCCTTGGTCTCGACTATTCCATTGTAGCACCGGCTGTGCGCTTACGGACATGACCTGCTAGTAGGCTTTTGGTAAATTACAAATAGGACTTCTGAACCATGACATACTTTCTATTGGTCATAAAATTTCCAATAACATTTGAGGCAGCAAAGTAAGGAAATATAAACATGGCCTAAATTCATTTGCATAGTACTGTATGATAATTGGAAACCACATGTGAAGATACTCAGAATAATCCCATGCTGCTCTTCCAAATCGTCTCAGACTTATGTACACTACCTCAGCAGATGGTTGCTGCATGCAAGTGTGTGAATATTTATAGGACAGCAGTGCGCTTCCTAAAATTCAGTTCATAAAAAAATTAGCAGAAGAAAGAAGGGACGTTGCAGTACCCTGTATTTTAATTCTCAATCCATATTAATAGCATGTTGTTTGAATGTTTAGTTTATTCTTTACATGTTGCCATTCAGTGGTTTCATGGCATTCATTTATGTTACTACGCTGAAGACTCACCTCTACATTGATGTGTCTGCACGTTACCGCAAACCTATGAATGCACTTGATAACTTCTGATCAACTCTTTAGTTAGTGTTAATAAATAAAACACTAGCTGCAGTTATATTTTGAGAATATTGTTCTATAAACAGCTTTTTTTTTGTTTTAGCATTTTTTGCTCTATGATTTGATCATTTAGGTCATTATTCACTGACTCTGTGAATAATATTCTATGAATAAGATTTAACTGACCGATTCAATGTTTATAAAACATTGCAATGCAAGCATGCATGAACAAGTGAGCGTGGCTAAATTCTCTATAAGACGGTCCTACAATGTAAAGTCTTTTTTTCTTTCCTTTTTATTTCTTCACAATATCATATGACAATGCTGTTTTCTTACTTTAATTTCCAAATTCCGACTCGGATATATAATATACTTTTTTTTTTCTCTCCAGCCTCTTAAGAAGCCCCGATGTCTCAAAACAGAAACACATTAAAGACCGAGGATTGCATCGCTGGCAGTGAGATCACAGGCTCCGTCAAAGCTCTCTTGTAACCCCCTCTGAGAGTTCCCCAGCAACCTTGCTTGGTTTGTGTCACTCATGCCCGTGAATATGCTGCGACTGGAGTTTGGGTTTCTTGTTAGCTTTAGGTGAAGCTTGGGATAAAAATGGGTTACCGCTTGAAAAGCCATCACGTTGGTGGAGACATCGAAAACTGGGGCAGGAGATGACGCACAGACGGGCTATTTTTTCATTTCCTTACAAGGAACGACAATTAGCTGGCATAGTGCTGAGAAGGGGATCTGAAACGTCAAGAGTTATATTTTCATCATGGCGCTTCAAGTAGCTTCTTCTCAACTCCTGCTAGACAACCGGCTTGGAAAGGAACCGAGTACAGAAATGGTAAACAAAATGTGATGCAGTAAGTAACTATAAGAAGCTGTCTGTCCAGCTCATGTTCCTATTTGGTGATTTTTGTCCAAGAAATCCAAGTAAGTACAAATTTGAAGTAATAAATTACAAATTATTATCCTTTATGTTAATTTTTGTAGCTCAAACTTGTTCTTTAGATGGCAGTTAGAGGCACAAGTACATTTACACAGTTTCGAGGTAATAAGTGAACACTGGCACACTACAGAAATGTTTGTGTGGGGTATGACATGTTAGAAATTACTTTTTTTAATGTAGACTCTATTTTTAAACAAATTAATTTGAGTGAAATGCTTTTAAAAATATGTTAAAATGTAATATTTTTAAAAACATTTAATTTATTTTAAAACATTACTAAAAAATTTCTTGGCTGATGTGAAATATTAGTCAATTATTATTATTTTTTATTTAAATAAAAAAAAAAAATAATAAGAGCAAAAGGAGAGATTTGCTCTTAAGCCTGACTCTTTCTTTTTATGCTGGCCAAATTATACCCATAAAAAAAAACAAAGTTTTACTGGTTTCAGTCATATAGTTTATCAATTTATATGTAAGGTTACATTAGATGACCATTCCCACCTTTTGTTTGACTAGTAGAGACAAAAATCTTCAAAATAAAATACATAATTATCATCTACGGTCATCCTTCTGACTGAACAACAACATTCTGTCCCAATAATGTTCTCTTATGTTTCACTCTTTGCAAATCCTTTTATTAATTTACTAAAGTGAGACGCATTCTGCATCGGTGCTCTTTGCGTAGCTTTGGCTCCCAGCTAACTTGTGTCACCAACAACTAAACGATAAGAGAAAACGAGATATAATGCTTATTAAGCTTGGGCTTGTATCGCAGCACAGCAGACAGAAGTTCTCGCCTTTTGGAGAAATGCTGTCTGGGGAGTTGCCAGGCAACAAGTCTGGAGGCGGCAGACGGCCCCAAACTGGTGGCGATGGCAGCAAAAGTGCCAGTTTACTGTCATTTTTCACAGCATTAGCCCTCTAACGGGATCACTCCACGAGGGCTGCAAGCATGCACAGTGCATCAATGGAGAGACAAACACAGATGATGCAATGACGGGGAGAAACTAGGTGCAGGTGGAGAAGCAAGGAGGAAACACACAACGAAACAGGGTATTGTCCAAATAACAAAAGGCCAAAGGGCCAGAGTGGTATGTCATCCTGTGTGAGGCATGGTGTAGCACAGGCTAATCCTTCAGAACATGTTGGTAATATAACCCGGCTAATTATCCAGCTGATATCAGCTTGTGGTGCGACCATAAAGAACAGAATGGCAAGACGGAATAATATTCAGTGAATTAAGAACTTTAATAGAACTCCTAAAGGATTGTTTATCCTTGGTTTTTGCTCGAGCCCATCTTTAAAAATCAATATGTGTTGAATGAAAGTTTTCTAACTGCAGCCAATGGACGCTAAGCAATGTGAAAAGACAACAAATTAGCAGATATGAGCAGCTTATTTAAAATGGGCTTGTCTGAAAAATTTAGCATGGCAGAATGACAATTCTTTTCCTGAAAATATCGTTCGATCCTGGAAGAAAACACAAAATGTATTCAAAGCTAAATCGGCACATAAAAAAATATAAGGTTCCCTTTTGTTCTGCAGTAATGTTGAACTTTTTTTTTTTTTTTTTAAGAAAATAAAAGCAGGTATGGATTTGCACCTTCTGATGAATTATCTATCTCTAGGCAGCCTGGAGTCTTTTCAACTT